CTAGACTGGCCGCTGAGATCATGAATTTCACATTTGATCTCATTTGATCTGATCTCATACATTTCTTGATGTGAATCCTGCTGGGACTGGCTATCAAAAAAACATGTAAAGTGACTATATATCAGATCTTAAAATGAAATCATGACTTGAAAAAAATGAGAAAGTGATTTCATTTAATCTCATTTAGTTCCATTCTTGATATAAAGTTACTATTTTTAGACATTTTAAGGTTTTTTTTAGACTATTTTTAATTTTTTAAAAAGTAACACTTTTTGATAACACTCAAATGAGATTTAAAGTCATTTAAAGCAATAAAAATAATTTAAATTGAGAAGTGGAAATCATAATCTTATTTGAAAAATGTGACAAGAGTAGACAGTAAGTCTCACTGAGACAGTATAAGATTACTATCTAATGTTAAAACCGTGTAATGAGATCAGTTAAATTGATAATGAGACTATCAAAAAATCTGGTCCTGGTTTCAGACACAGTCACACAGTCAGTCTAATTTCAGCAGTTAGTCTATCTATAGATTAACTATTAACTATCTTCTTATAATTAATCTTCTCAGAAATGATTGTAAAACTATATCATTAAATTAATACAGTAGTTAAGATCTTAGAAGATGTGAAGAATACTCTTATATCTAATTTAATAAGACAGTTGAACAAGATCTTCAAGAGTAGTGTGATTCAGGTGAAATTTAGTACATATTATAAGAATAAACTTACAAATCATTATTATGTAAATAGATATTAAATTATTAAATTCTTTTACAGATAGATATAAGTAGATGAAGTTCTCACTATTAAGAATATTAATTACAAGATCACAATCTGTAGAGTAGATAAGATGAAAAAGATATTTAATAAAAATCTTTAATTAATTGAAATTAAATCTATAAAATCTACAGTTACTTAATTATAATAAGATAATTCTATAGAATTTCAATCTACAGTGAATTCTACATCTTCTAATGAGTATATAGATAATCTTTATATTATAGATAGATGTAGTGATGATTATTAATTAATTTTTGAAGATTAATATATTTAAAATATTTTCTGTATGGTGTGGTTTTCTGTACACTGTGGCGCACTCACTAGAGAGAGTGAGTAAGCATGGCACGGTTATATGCTCCATCAATACAACCTTCGACTATCCTATAGTTAGTTAGTTTAACGTTACTAGTGATTTGTCAGTACCTGTACCACCGCTGGTAACTTTGGTTTTCCAAGGCGCTGCAACGCCTATCTCCGGTCTCTTAGGTGTACCAACACGCAGTATGAAGTCTAATATATACCGCCCAATACCACCCTCCAAGCAGCCAAAACTGGGTAATATTTCGCCCGTACTGTCACGCCACGCGTAAGTATCCATTCGCCCCCTTCTGCGCCGTGGCCGACAACAACGGAAGAAGAACAAAAATCCTGGCTGCGATGAGACGAGACGAGACGAGACGAGACAGCGACACAAAGATACTCTCTATCCAGGCGAGTCGAGAAGCCATCCCCAGGGCTACATCTGCCACCTCTAAAAGGGCCATGACCCGCCAGCGACCAATCTCCTTCCCGCCATGGTTGCTCGCTCAACACCGACGTTGAGATTTTCGTCCGTACGACACAGAGATCCTCCTCCTCCTGTCGCCCCATCATTCGATCCGAGCAAAATACCCTCCTTCGCTCACGACACCACCACCACAACCACCACCAAATCAATCCCCCCCAACCCCTCCACCGTCACCACACGACGAAGTGCCGTAATCCAACAACGACAACGACAACAGCAGAAACATCACCAATTACAAGACAAATTAAAACCCCTTAAACAATCCAAACTCCCCTTCCCCCTTGCCTCCTCTCCCCGCCAACCCCAACAACCCACCAAGACAATTCCAGCGCCCGAACGGCCTTTCAAGAAGGCAAAGCTGGATGGTCGCCATCATGACCAGGCATCCATCACCGGGCCTGCAAAGCTTCCCTTGCGCAGTAGGGATTCACAGGGCCTACTACTACTGACACCGGATTCATCATCTACAAAAACAACATCATCAACAACAACGCCTGCTGCGTCTCGGACGCGGTCAGCGAATGCTACTGCAGCTACTGCAGCGGGTGTTAGTAGTAGTACTGGTGGTGGTGGTGGGCTTACAGCTATTAATAAGAATAATAGTAAACCCACTACCCTGGCACTCTCCGCTCCACCCCGCTCCCCCGCATCAGCCGTATCTCGGACAACGCGCAAATCTGCCCATAGTAATCAACAACAACAACATCACACGCCTGTGGGGGTGAGTGAAGATGTGGCGCAAGAGGAGAGGAGGAAGAAGAAAAAAGTGGTTAATGGCATTATGATTGCGGATGACCATGATAATGATAATAATGATAAGTATAAAAATGATCGGATTGTTAATAACTTGTTGAAGGACGATGGGGCTTCTCCTTCGACGACCGCCGCAGTTGGTCGTGAAAAGAGATCGTTACGATCTAATGATGGAGGATCGAGGTCGAAGAGTGAGCTGGCGATGTATTTTCAGAATTATGAGCAGATTCTCAGTTTAGAGCCTATGAAGCCCGGTGAGTTTACTTTGATCTATCTCCCTTTGTTTTGTTTGTCTGCTTGTGTGTATGTGTATCTATATATCTAGATTTCCTGATGTGGCGCTACAATTCGAGTTTGGTGTTTGCTCTGCTTGTGTATCTCCTGTTGCTAACCGTCGATAGAGTTCCTCTCGGCAGACACCACGGTCTTACTCATCGATGACCTCACGCAACCTATCGAACTTGATCCTGTGCCGACAAATGCGCCAGCAACCAAACTTCGGGGGAAGCACGATAAAGGGAATCCGCCAAATGGCCAAATGGCACAATCGTTAATGGAGAACCCACTTCTCGAGCTCCATGATGCCCAAATACTTGACCTACGACCATCTACACATCATAGTAAGAAACCATCAAAGGACCCGCTAGATGGCGATGTCTACTTCAAGGCGCACCGGAGGATCGAACGGCAAGAAAAGCAGCTCCGGAATATTGAGAGGGAGAGGGCTCAGCATGAAAAGGTCCAGCTGGATCGATTACTGGATGAGTTACAGGGCCATGATTGGCTGCGAGTTATGGGTATAAGCGGAATCACGGAGACGGAAAAGAAACTTTACGAACCTAAACGAGCGTATTTTATCAAAGAGGTGTCAGCATTAATTGATAAATTCCGGGCCTGGAAAGAAGAGGAGAGACGACGGAAGATTGAAAGAGATCAATACCTTGCCGAAGAAGACGATGATGACGAAGAAGAAGATGAAGAAGAAGATGAGAACGAAGAAAACGAAACGGAGGATGAGGACGAAGATGAAGCCGAGCAAGCGGCTGACCAAACCAGCATAGGAAAAGAAGATACCAGGCCCCAACCCAACAGGGACGGGGACCTGGAATATTTCTCTCCTAACTTCCAAACCTACGGTGAGCCCCCAGACATCAATGATGTCGATGCCTGGGCAGCCCGCCAACTCCATCAAGAAGCCATCTCAGCCTCCTCCAACACAGCACGCCGCATCAACCTACTTCCCGAACATGTCTCCATACCACCACCACTACCATCATCTCAATCTTCCTCTTCCTCCCCTCCATCCTCCTCCTCCTCATTTTCACCCACATCCACCTCCACATCCTACCCTGCCCCTGCTGGCCGCGATTCTGACCGAGCTGCCCGTGCCCCTAGCCCTGCAACAACACACACATCCGCACCGCCACCCACCCCGCCACCACCAACAACAACACAACAACCGCCGGCCCAGCCAGAACCCAAACCGTTCACATCGTTCTATACGAAACGGCACCTGCGCGACGCCGCCGTCGGGAAAATCCGACGGGGCCGCACACGGACCGCGTTCGGGCAGCCGTTGCCGGAAGTAGCGGCGCGGGAGTTCCGGTTGCCCGCGGATATCCTTACGGAAGAGGCGGTCGATGCGTGTCAGAGGAAGAAGAGGCGGTTGAGGAGGGCGCGGAAGGGTTGATGGGGGTGTCTTGTTTTCAAGTGTTTATTATGTATTCTTATTATTATTATTATTACTACTATGTTCATCATTATTGTAATGAGTATTACAGTCGTGCGGGAGAAGGAGCTAAAAGCCAATGAGGCAAGGGAAGGAAAGGGTAAACCACCAAAACACATTACACACATGTTTTAGGTTAACTCGGTTTTCTTTCTTTTTCTTTTCCTTTCTTGTCACCCACGTATCTGAGGTCAGACGAGAAAAAGGGGAAGCAAACGGTGTCAACTCTTGTGGAACGTTCCTTTCCCCCCTTTATACGAAAGACACGAACGATTACCGGAGTGGAATATAATGTATAATGTATGTACTCCGTACACTGGCTGGGATGGAGAGCTCGTCAGACTAATCCGTCTGGCTCGTGTTATCCTTCCACCGTATATATAGTTAACAACTCCCGTCGCTAGTTATGTAGCGAATACAGTTCTTGAATCAAGCAAGCTTTACACCTCCAACAGAGGTACCGTAGTCCGTCCGTAAATCGGATGGATGAGATTTGGGGGGGTTGGAGGGTTGATTGCTTTGCTTCCATTTTTGCTCTATGTCCTAGCTTAGATTCTATCCGTTTATTTATTTATTTATTTATTTATTTTTTTTTTTCAATGGACTGGACTCCTCCTCCCAACGTGCCTATTATTGGCCAGGGTGGTTATCCTGCGCGCGCGCGGTGTTTTGCCTGCAAGGCGGATTTTTAGGTTCCTCTTCACTATATACTTATGAGCTATGTAATTGGGGGTCCATAGGTGGGGGGCATGAGTCCTTCCGTGTAGATGCTAATTAAATATAGATTTCTAGCATTGTGTGTGTATGTTGTGTCCGGAGTAGGGGACTTCTGCATGGTTAAAGGGTTGGCGGGCCCAAGCCCCTAACCACTTAGTTACTGCTTGTCTGCTACCCCTGGCCGCCCGGGGGGATTCCCGGGCCTAGCTAGTATTACACCCTGATCGGCAGTATTGAAGTCAATCAATGAGATTGATGGCTTAGAATAAATGAAAGGAAAAAGTATGCTAAAGTTGTCTGTCTTTTAGATGAGAGGGATAACCGGGTCTCTCTATTATTTATTGTTGTTTGAAGAGGCTCAGTGAATGACTTGATTTCAATATTATATATTCTCTGCTGTATAGTTACTATATTTTTGCAATCTTGATTCTGGAGGACTCCAAAGCTTGAATTTATTTTAGTTTATTTATTTACTTTGAAATGAAAATCATTGTCAACTGCCATATGCTGCTGCTAAAGTCTTTGACTTGAGTCACTCTTTGTTCTCAGAAACTCTCAATTCTTGCATCATGACTTTGCTTTGATATGAAGGGATAAGGTGAAATTCACATTGTCTTTCTATCTTCAGGGTTTACTCCTTACACTCATGAATCCACAGCATGAGGAATTAAGTTGCACTAGTTATCTCTCAATCCAGCTATCCTCTCATGCCGGTTCAGCCTACTAATAGGCATGGACTCAAAAAAGAAAAGAAGGAAAATAAATGTCACTTTGAGCTGTCTTGTGGTGTCTATTCCATTATTCATTTTTTGGCATCAACATTTTGAAAGTGGAGATGTCCACCGTGCTCGGGTGATTATCATTATCATTATCATCATCATCATCATCACTATTATTACAGATTATTTTTGAAACTAATCTCACTCTTGTAATCATCAGCCCTACATGGCCCATGGGTTCAAAATCCGGCCATCAGTCTCCCCTCTACTCCGTAATGAGGCCCACATCGCCAGTAGTCCACAGCGATGACATGAGCGAGCGAACAAATTGTTAGGTGTGGCAATCTGTTTGTGTATGAGAGAGATGATCATTCTGTCTGCCTCCTTTGCGACAACTTTTTCCTGTCTTTATCTTTCTCCACGCCGGTTCCTCGGATGGGATGGTCTGTCTGTTACAGCTTCGAATGCTCAGGAAAAAAAAGCACACATGCTAGTCTCAAAGTTGCTTTTTCTTTGAAGGGTAGTCAGCCTGTTTGGCTATCCATGGACTCTGGATTGTGAATGGTCTTAAGCTTCTTGCTAGCAGGGATCACCACCACAAGTGCAATGGAACAAGGAATAGCCTTGTCTTGCTTGTTTCGCCTAACATCAGAAGCTGTCTTGGAAGCAAAGATGTATCTGCCAACCCATTTCAAATTAGCGCTCAGTGAGATGGTACATATACATTATAAGAGGCTGCAAGATGAAAGTGGATAGCAACAATTAGTATCTAGCTATAGTGATGAGTTGATGATGGATTATGCGAGGAGGAATGTTTAATTTGTTGGCTAGTGATCAAACCCTTCTAACTCTAGTGTCCTACAACTTTTTCCTTTCTTTCTTTTTTTCTTTTTTTCCTCCCTAACTGACATGGCATAGGTTTCTGGCTTCGATGACTTGGCGCTATCCGGTTAGTTAGTGCTGCGGCATAGCTCTATCGAGGTTGCTACTGTGGCCATGAAACCTTCTCTGGGACTCTATTGCGCCTGATAGGTTACCTAGACAAGCCTGCATAAAGAGAACTTTCAAAATTGTAGGGGCTGCAAGGCGCCATAGACCACGCTAGGTGTAATCTACCCATGACGTATTAGCCATAATATTGGGAGACGATGGCTGGAGTGGGAAGACGCCCACTCGCATGATGCTTGAACCCTGACATTTCCCGGGGCCAGTGCCAGTCCTGACTAGCTTAGAGGGTGGCTTTCACAAGAGAGCTTCTCCCCCTGCCGTGGGGATGGATGTTCCTCCATTTATTTAACGCATCCCGTGGAGCTCTGCCAAATGTCTTTCGTTTTGCCGAACTGGGCAGGATGGATTGCTTCCAGGGTTCTTCATACACTACCACTTCCGAACAATTCGTGGGAAACGGGATCGTTGTTTCACGTCCGTCACCGTCAGATGCGTCTCCTACGTGTCGGGAATTGCCTCAAGACATGCTACATGTTGGGGGATAGATATTTCGAAAATTGGGACATACTACTGAGCTGTTCTTGTGTTATTTGCACCAACGTTTCGGTCGTGTAAATGTTGAGATAAGTTCCGTTGGCTGGGTAAACTCCGTTGAAAACGGCGAATTAAATAACTAGATAAACGGAAAAAAAAAAAAAGAAAAAGAAAAAGAAAAAGAAAAAAGCGCAACTCGAGAACGAGCCGCATACGAGAAGCGCCATCATCATGTTTTTTCGGCCCTCCTTCTCCCTCTTCCCAGCGGCGTCCAGAGCTCTCCGGGTACAGTTGAGTCCACTGCATTGAAGTGGGGCCGGGCTAACAATGCAATGAAGTTACTAGACGAACGGAGAACGAGTCTGCTCTAAGCTAACGTGACTTCATCAGGGAGAGGGGAGGGGGGAGCGTATCGTATCAGTCGTTGGTTTCCATGTACGTTGTCCAGATCGGCTTCACCACAGGTTTTTCCCAACCACTGCTGGAGCGGGGCCAACTCAGATCAACGGAAGCTCAACCCACTTCGAAACTCAAAATACCCCGTAACTTATAAGCGCGCTTGTGGCATATAAGCCTCTGGCCCAACAAGGGGCGTAAAAGGCACACCCCCCTCCCCCTCCTTTCGAAATTTCCCGGGTGCTAGGACGCTGAGGGCGATGTTTTTATTTTTTATTTTTATTTTTTTTCCCCTCTTCTTCTCGCCCATATTCAAACGTCACCAATGGGGTTTTGTCTCACTATTCAAAGGGAGCGGTGTAAAAGGCGAGTATTTCATTCACCATCGGCCGAGCCCCATCCCCGCCTCATCTGTCAGGGTTGCCGTTTGTCGTTGCTGGCTGCCAGCTGGGTGCTGCCAGACCGACCGGACTTGGATGCTGCGGGGTCGTGTGTGTGGGCAAAGTCAGGAACGAAAATGAGTTGTGTGGGCAGGCATGCAATGGGTTCCGACCTGCCAGGCACGCCGGCGAGTGGCGACGTAGCGTAGGCTGATGGGCAGTTTCATGCACCTTTGTGCAGGGGAGGATAATCAACACTGGCCGACAAAAAAAGCAAATTCCAGCCCGCTGGTGAGAGGCGGCAAAATTCGGGTTTCGACAATGACACCGGGTTTTTTTTTCTTTTTTTTTTTCTTTTTTTTTTTTCCCCCAAAGTTCACCAGAGCCACCAGAGGTTCTTGGAAATCTCCAGTCAATTATCGAATTAACACCTGGTCTCCTCTCCCAGTCGCGGCTAAGGGACAGGGCGCTCTTCCCAAAGTGACCTCGCGCTTTGCGCAGTGGCCGCAGGAGCCTTTCTACCTGCCTTCTTGCTTGAGCCAATGGATGATGCTCCAGATCTGGCGGTTTTTCGAACATGTTCCTCAGAAGCATAGGAATGAATGTCCTAATGTGAAAATGGCCGGCTAGCTCCACTTTGTCTTTATTTCTCATTCTAAATGCAATATTAAACTCAAATGAGGGGTTTATAAATTAACTATGAAAATTTATTGATCTCTTCCATCTGCACTAATAGTGATTAATGTACTCCTTATTGTACAGTACAGTAGTTACAGTCTGACTGTCTCCATGCATTATTTATTGAGAAATAACGAGCAGCAATTATTATTATTATTCAGCCTCGATAAAAAAATTAAGAGGATAAACAGCTGCCAAGGTGGAAGTGAACACCAACCTCTAGCAAAGAGCTTTCCGAATCCACTAATCAGTGCGTCTGTTTTGGGTTCAATCGAAAGCTGCAGATTCGCAATACTAGAGTAGAGGCGGCATGGGTGAGAAGATATGCCCCCAGAAAAGAAAAAAAAAAAAAAAAATGAAAATGAAAATATGAAAAAATGGAAGGGGGGCCGGGAGGATAGAACCAGCACCACTCTGGCTGACAATAATATAAAAGTCATTGTGCATGCAGGTCTTACGCCTAAGTTCTCGTTGAAAACCCCTAAAAAGCTCGGAATGCTTCCAGTAGGGTGACGGACAAGTCTCCAACCAAAATCCGGGCTACTAGCATATCGACTTATGACGCCAATCTCTCCCCATGGTCTTTGGCTTTGTAGATCCAGACAGCGCAGAGGACGGAAGTCATGGCGATCCCAACGGAGAAGCTGCTCGGACGAATATTATGTCTATTACGAATTACCCCCACAACCTTTGGCGGCAAAGAAGGCAACCGAGGCAACAGTGAGCCAACGTGGGCGTATTAAGAACTTGTGGCCGAAGCCAATGTTTGAGCAGAAATCATATCATTATCAAATCCAAGAAGGAGAGAGGAAAAAAAAAAAAAAAAAAAAAAAAAAAAAAGGGAAAGTTTAATCCCTGTTCAGGCTCAAAGCATGTTAAAGGGGTAAAAGTGGTTGGCATACATATCTTTAATTTTAATTTCCTCTTATCTTCCAATGCCAGCTTAGCCCAATGAATATTGTTCATGAAAACATAATGTGGACGCGGGCCAAGCACCACCAAAAATCCCCGCTGTAAAGCCAAAGCAGCCAGTACTTTAGCGCAATGAAGCACAGCCTATTGCTAGTTGTGCACCGCTCAGCAGAGAATGCCGAGAAAGATTTTTGCTTCAAATAAAATTGATGGCCGAAATACCCAGGTTAGATTGAGTCACGGCTAATTTATTGGTTCGCCCTTGGACTGGTGTGTCGTGTGGCATGCTAAAAGGGAAATGCCCTAGCCGTTGTGCAGTGCAGTCAAAAAGGAGGAGTGAAAAATGAACAATCTGATAAATTCAAGTACAGTTGGACAAGTTGCGAAATAACGGATGTAAATTTTAGTGAACATGACTCGGAATTTGGCAAAGATATAGCGTAGTGAAGACCAGAGTCTGATAGGGCCTCCGAATATAGGGTTGGTCGACTCATGGATACTCTATTCGATGTAAAACCAGGCGCGTATCGACACAGAAGCCGTGCGGGTAAAGGTCTTCAGGGTCATGGCAATCCCTGCCAAGTACGCTTCCAAAACCATGCGCGGGCGTGAAAGAGTCTACTCAAATAGAAACGCAAAGCAACAACTCAGCATGAAGCGCACTTCCGCATTCTTCACTTGAGCATTCTTGTACCGCTCGGTATGAAACTCAGTTTTGATTAATACCATCTTCATTAGTTGCCTTGCTTTTGCTTGAAAGTTCGAGAGTCCATCTGCACAAGAAGATCCGGAATTCAACATCAGGGCAGTACATAGGTTTGATAGAAGTCCCAACTCTAACGTCCTCGCTTCACTTAACACCACAGTCCACTAAAGTCACCAAAGACGCGGTTCCAGTCGGAGCGCTGAGTATGACAGGGGTAGAGATCGCCGCGGGCAAACGTGTCTCATGTCCAGAGCGAAAGTGCTCCCACTTCTCACTTCTCTAGCTCCGTTTATGAAAAAAGTACAAGCCCAAGCGGAATTAAGAGAAATATGATATATCATCACTTGGTGAGTCGAAACCCGGAACACCATGGTCGACTTGATGCAAGTGTCTCTCCGGGTTGCTTCGGTGCCGTCTCCAGCATCAAGAGTAAGCTAGCATCCGCGCAGGCCATTTCCCAATAACCAATACCATTGCTAGGCGGAGTCGTCATGTTTGAGGTAGTCCGAGCGGGAATAAGGCGATTCAAAAAGGGAAATACCTCGAGGCTTAAGAGGCGGTGACTGACTCTGAGTTAATCCTATTACCACTGGGCATGGAGCGGCTGTGGCTGAGTGGTCGTTGTGGACTATTGAGCATCCATAGTATCCAATCTTCAGACGCCTTAAAAGACAGATGGTGGCCCTTTTGGACGCAAGTATCGAACAAATCCAACCCTACCGACATCACTCTCCCGGCAGCAATTCTTGAGTCCCTCGATACAACCCAACTCGCGGGAGATAATAGATTAATCCCCATCCAAAATCCTGCTGTCAAAGCATCTGTGGTGTTCCCATCAAAGAAAAAGCCATAGAAACGTTCGGCGTGACATCGTCCCAAGTGAGTTACACAACATTGAACCAATGCTAGTAGCACTTGCTGACGAGCCATAGCATGGAAAACAGCCAGCAGTCCCCAGAAAGCTTCGAGCTGGGTCTCCTCGAGCGTAGCCGTCTCGCGTGGGACAAACACCGGGTGGTAACTCATTGGCTGGAAAAGGTCGAACCTCACTCCAGGGCGAGAGGAACACGCGACCATGAAAGCGTCATGAATGTGACAGCTTCAACAGACCCTCCTACGGTGTCTCCGCAAGACAGTGAATTGGACACCAAAGGAAACACGGCGGGTTCGAGTTAGATGGTTTGACAAGGCCGTCCCCGTGATGGTTCAAGAACATAGACGTCAATATTCTTCCGTTTCATCGCAACACAAAAGTTACCTTCACATAGAGGAGTCGAAAACCGTACCGCCCGCTTTCATCGATCATGTCGTTTTCCTACATTTCAAAACCACCCCCCCTCCTAAAGCTAATTCACAATCACCCAACTATCGCTCGTACACGGCTTCGCTGGAACTGATAAGGGCCGAACTTGATTTTTGGATACTGAAGACCTATTGATAATATGTATCCGTTGTTCATTTCAATATCTCGGACGATCTGTTGGCCACCAGGTAGATAGCAAGAACAAGGCCTTTGCATGAAACGACAGAGCTCTTCACTGGCCGAGATGAGGGCGGCTTTGTTGAATATGTACCTGAATTATACCTCTGCAAGCCAGATAGCAAGAAATTGAACAATTTATGTCGGGATCATATATCTCCCTCCTCAACAAACGATATACCCTTGCATATTTGAAAGCACAAGAAATTTTTGACAATAGTAGCTGTCAGGGATCCATGGACCCTGTTACTTCCGTATTCTGCATTTGAAATTCACATGCCGCAGGAGTTTGGCAACATACTGAAGGAAGGCTGTCCCGGGTGGCCGCCCCGGCATGCATATGCCACTCATTATCAAAGGTGTCTCCTGCTCACTGCTTTGTCAATGTAGCACATACAAAACCCTAGTTTACCTGGATAGGTCGAATGAGTTGGCTCGGGCGTCCGATATTCTTGCTAGCAAGGGATCCTAGATTTATTAGTCGCCCAAACTAGCTCGAGAACAAGGCAAAAAGAAACTTGAGCAAATATGGTCAGTATATTTGTACGAAAAGATTAGTGATGCAACTTCAGAATAGTTCATCAGCATCAGAGAGAAGATTAAGTATTTCGTCCTGGCCAGAAACCAAACCATCTTTCGAACTTCCTTCCCATGATGGAAGAGAAGGGCAAGAGAAGATGGATCTGGCATACGACTAAGGATGACGATACAAAGATTTTCATCATTGGGTTTGCTGCTCATTGGTGAAGGGAATGGACGTACATTGGGATGCCACCGCAGGTAATAGGTAAGTATAAAGGGCCCACACTTCAATTGGCCCGCATGGACTGTCCTCCGTTGAATTGAAACAAGAGCTTTGCTATATTTCCATGGTTCGCTACCTGGTTCCGCCATTGATGGTTCACAGTTGTGAACATTTGGACTATAGTTGGATTTTAATCGTCGTAACTAACCAGGCGTCGACCAAATGGATTCGTGCCGGAGGACGAAGCAGGTTTCTGAGAATGTCCGAACGTTGTTCCTTCGTCTGCGTACGCGAGTAGTTTTTTAGCACCCCCATTCCCATCCCGTATCTTGTTGTCTTCCGTTGACTTTCTATCAACATCGTGATATGATTTTTCGGTTCCTTCGAAGCTCTGTTGTTGATACTCTGATGAACCCTGTCCACCTCCCTTGGCTTCCGACCGGCCGGCACCGGCTAGAGGTTCCTTGGATGTGTCAGTTAGAGCTTCGACTTCAGCTTGTTCTCGATCAGCCATCTCTTTCCGCCTCTTTTCGCGCTGCAGCTTTTGGATTTCGCTGTGCCTAAAGATTTCGACTTGTTTATCTGTGAGGGTCCGTTTCGTCCCATCCGGGTAGTATCCGAGATCATCATCGCCATCGTCAAGCTGTTCGACATCCGCTACCGGTATCAAGGGTTGTACTGATCCATGGTTGTTCCTGTGAAAGAAATGGCGGGCATTGAACTCCTGAAGATCATGCTTTTCCGTCCCGTCCCAGTGGTTAGCTCAAGGGGATAGAAAGGGGGTGCTAAGACAAGCATACCTACCAATGTGACTGTCGGGATCTGTTGTTGATATGACATAGCGATAGGGACTATCAAACCTTCCTTCTGCTTTTCAGGAGTATGGATAAGCCTGGCAGACTCGTTTTAAGCACAATTGGTCTTGTTGACAGGTGTTCGTCAAAACAAAGCGCCGGATCTTTGGTGGAACAAAGGCGGTCACAATGGGGTCGGCTCCCTTTCTTCCGGCGCGCTGTCTCGTTTAAATAACTTCAACCTGTTCCAACTACCAACTAGTCCAAACACTAACCAGCCATTTCCTTGAAGTTCGAAGTCTGTATTATCATAATATTGCCCCTGGATAACTTCAAACTTGTCACCTTCAATCAATTGTGACCAGAGCTGAGTGAGGGCCCTGCGATAGCTTTTATCGATACTGGTAGCGCTGAGGTACTGGAGGCCCAGGTTCACACGCCCCCATATTATGCGTCAGGGGGCACTGATTTGCATGGAACGACTCCAACGGGCACAACCAAGCACCACCAATGCAAGCTTCAAGCCAAGGCCATCCAACAAGTAGAATCGCATCCTTCAATAATGATTGCTCCGGTACTCCGGACGAATCCCCAGCCAGAGGTTGATCCAAGGTGTTTAAGTGGTTGGTAGACTCTGCCTTTGGCATGTGTCTTGCCAAACCCAGGAGGATATCGAAATCCAACCCTATTGCTTGAACAAGACCATCAATTGCAGAGTTTTTCAGGCCATGAACGAGGGCCAACTACTCGTTTAAATGGAATGGCCGAGATTTCCAAATCGTCGGTCGGTTTTCCATCCCGACCGTTCACTTTTACAGCCCGGTGCAAGGGATTGATGCGCTGTAGCGAATCATGACAATAGTGCATACACCAGGGGCATGTACCAGTCGATCAGATTGAACGGCCTGTGTCATTTTCCTCGTTTATTCATACACGTCATGTTATTTCTCGATGGCGCAACGACAATATTATATAACTATATAAAACCCGACCAAAACTATGAAAGCTACAGCCCGCAGAACCCACCCTCATCCAGAACCCCGGTTGGAAGTTCTAGATTATGAACAATGTTCCCAATTTTGAGCTTTACGCTGCCAAAGGGAATTCCGATTTCCTTCACTTTATCCAATTCCACGGACGCAACCCTCTCCTTGTCTTCCCTTGATGGTTCTGTGAGACTCCACGCGATAGATATATGGAAGTAATCCGAATAATCTGCTACAGCGACAGAAGAGGTTGTTGATCTTTGCTTTGGGGGCTTTTCTGTATTCCGATCACTGGCCCGCGTATATGCGGGGGCTGGCGTTTGGTAAAGGGGAGGCTGCTGAAAGGCAGCCAGAGACCGATTTGAGATCGCAAGTAGGCGATTCAGCTCGTTATTCGCCGGTTTCATAACCCGTAACACAAGAAACCACCGCGTCTTCTCAAAATTTGACACCCAGTCCAACCCATCGGTTTTCACATGAAACCTTTCAAAACTTATCAGATAATTTCTAAAAAAAGGGCAAATTCTACATCATTCACGCAATCTCAAGAGGTTTATCTTTCTATGTTTGTACAGGGTGTACCAGTACTTACGGACGAATATCAGATTCACGTAGAGCATCATTGAGCAAGTCTCGAAAAGGCTGCCTATCTTCCGTCACAAGAACAACAGGGCGTGAAAGGCTGATATGTAAGGGTGCTTGGGCACCAAGATCGCTGTACAGCAAACCATGAACTTTCAACCCGTTTTCAAGTTTCTGTCCACACCGAGCAATCACCTCTGCCAGAATAGCTATCTCTGCAGCCGCAGGATACCCTCCACAAACCCCAGCAAATCAGTTTAACGAACCCAAAAGAAGAGAGCTTCAGACAAGAAATGAAACCATGTACTCAACTCCTCTTGTCTGAGTCGCCCAAAAAGGCAAAAAAGGGCAAATTAAGGAAGAAGAAACAAGAAAAACAAACACCTACACTCGAGATAGATATGGGTGGGCCAGTTGCCAGGAACATGAGGCATCACTCGCTTGCGTCCATCATGAAGACTGGGGTCATCCTGGACACTAATTCGCGAATTACTTGCATAGAGATCTAGGAATTCGGAAGGCAGTGGGGGTAAAGCGATAGTATTCCCGCCACGACCATCGCCATCATCGCTGCCCGGTATCGTTTTATCAGTGCGCTGTTGCTTCAAGGGCCGCTTCGAGAGTTTCGTTGCCACTGAATTGCTTCTGGAGACGGGGTTGGACTCTTCCGATTCGGAATCGGAGTATTTCACAAGTGACATGATAGATCACTCTATTGTATGGATGGGAAGGTGGAGAATGTATTTTCATCTATTATCATGTCTTTTGAACAATGAAGGGGTCAAAGACTTTAAATGCACACATGGATGCGCTCTTTCTGGCCATTGACCGGATCACATGATCTATGCTCTGCAGTGGATCCATAAGTTGTGGAAGGTGTAAAGCTTGTGTGATTGAAAGGTTGCTAGCTTTGTGGGAAGTTATATGGTGGAAGGATTAGTAAGCCAGATCACGTGACCTGACACCCCCACTCACCAGAGTAACTATACACGATGCTATATACAAAATTCGCCTTCAAATCAAGTACAGGTACAAAAAATGACTGGAAAATGTGAAGTAATGAAAAACCAGTCATGATATACATCATTTTTTATCCCCTTATCCCCCTATCTTCTTTATATTCTCTTTCCAACGCGTATATTTCAATGTTCCAAGTGGTTTAGTAAGCCCATCCGCCGCGTTCTCGGCAGATGGAACATATCGGATAGATATCTCGTTTTTGCGGACAAGATCCTGAAGGATGTGGAAACGGACCTCTATATGCTTCGAGCGGCGTGGAATTGCTTCGGAAGAGAATAGCTCTATGGCGGACTTATTATCGGCATGGATCGTATAAGCCAGACCATTGGCTGTGGTGGGAATGGGGTGATCATCGGCATCCAGATTGTTGAGGCGGGATGGGATGAATCCAGCGTCTTCTAGAAGCTCTCAGAGACAGACAAGCTCATATGCGGCCTCGGAGGATGCAATATATTCGGCCTCTGTTGATGACTTGGAGACCCCTGTTTGCCGGCAGCTCCGCCATGCAACGGGACCACCTGCCATGTAGATGATATAACCGGTGGTTGAACGGGATCCTGGATCCCTACCGGCCCAATCGGCATCTGCGTATGCTACAGGTTCAATTTCGGCACCTCTGTGATAGGTTATACCCTCATTGATTGAACCCTGTAGATATCGGAGCGTACGCTTGTATGCGGCCCAGTTCTTTGATGTAGGCCGGGAGCTGAATCGTCCAAGGAATCCTGCGGCGAAACTCATATCAGGACGTGTATTGGATGCCAGATATTGCAGGGATCCGATACCGGATTGATAGGACTGTAGGGTAAATTCTGCTGTGTATGCAATCGGTTCCTCATCATCATTCATGAAATCGACATTCTCCTCCATAGGAGTGGATGTAGGATGACAGTCATCCATTAAGAACTCCTCCAGGAGATTCCTTACAAAGAGGGGTTGGGACAATGTCAATGAAGTTGAATCTCTATCAATCTTCATTCCTAGATAGCGGTTAGAATCCCCTACATCCTTGATCTTGTAATTAGCAGCGATTTCGGCTTTGGCCCAGTCCAGATCTTCAATTTTCGGGCCGTAGAGGCGGACATCATCCACGTAGATGGTCATATAGACCTGTCTTCCATCGTGGATAAATAGTCCGGCATCATAGGGACTGACACAGAAGCCTGAGTGCAATAGCATCTTTCGCAGCTCCTCATACCATAAGAGTGCTGCCTGCTTAAGACCGTAGAGTCCCTGCATCAACTCACACACAAGATCACCACGGCCTTCGCGGAATCCTGTGGGTTGATTCATATATATCCATTCATCAGCAGGCAGTTGGGCGTTCAAAAATGCGGTCACCATATCAATCTGCAGAACATACCATCCCCGGGATGCCGAGATCGCCATGAGAGCTCGTGAGGTGGATGCAGAGACGACGGGTGCAAAGGTCCTTGAGTAATTGATTCCCTTCTGTTGAAGATTTCCGCAGACAACCCAGCGGGCCTTATAGCGGATAACATCACCCATATTGTTGAACTTTTTGTCAAATACCCATTGGCCGCGGAGGACACCCATTTGTGGTGTTCTCTCAATCAGTCGCCAGGCTCCTATCTGTTTCAAACGGTTGACCTCTTTAACACAGGCCTTGTAATAATACTTCCATTCCATGGAAGCTTTGGCGCGCGTGAGGTTTTTCGGGATCGGAAGTGCAGCAATCTCGGGATCGGTGAGTAGGTCTTCAAGACTGTCCCCCACTGAAGCTTCCCCGACTGTAGTGATATCCCTTGTAGATGTCGGAGGATCATCCGATTCAACTGTGGGTTCTGGGGAGTTCAGTGTATTCTGCACTAAAAAGGTAGGTATTCTCGCGGAGATATCATAGTCAATCCACCAATTATTAGTGGGTACAAGAAATAATGGACACTCAGGTTGAATTTCCTCATCAATGAATAGATTATCAATTGATGGATCAGGAATCGCTGCAGTCTCTTGACGGGCCGCAGTGGGTAGGCCTGGTGTCGCCGAAGGAATCGCCGCAGCCGCTTTACGGGCCGCGTTGGGTAGGACCTTCAGGTTGTGCGTTGTCGGTATCGATGGATCGGCAAGATGGAGGTCCTCCTGGAAGATTATGTCTTTTGATATGTATAAACGCCCGTTGGAGGGGTCCACCAATCTATAATTGGTAAAACCATCATAACCCACAAAAATCAACTCTTTGGAACGGGAAGCCATCTTATTGATGGGCTTGGGAACTATCTTCAAGAATGCTTTGCAACCCCATCGGCGAATGCCGCGTGCAGAAGGTAGAGCTTCAAGCCAGGCCTCATACAGTGTAATCGGCTTTGTATTTTCAGGGCCCCCATACAATATCGTTGAGGTTGGCATAAGGTTAAGCAGCTCTGTGGCTGCAATAACTGCCTCACCCCACATCTTTTCCGGAGCTGAAGAGTCTATTAATAGTGATTGGGACTTCTCAATGATCAAACCAATCGATCGTTCGGATACTTCATCTTGCTGTGGAGTATGGGGGGGAGTCGGCTCCCATTTTATATCTTCACTGAGCATGTATGCCGTGGCTGCATTTGAATTCAATTCTCCACGATCTGAGTGGATGATTGCAATACCACATCCCAGCAGATTCTTGATGAATTGGTTGAAGATCCGTAGATATCTCAACGTCTCATCTTTGCGTTCCAATAGGAATATCCACCTCATACGGGTGGCATCATCTGTTATCACCATTGCAAGCTTCTTGCCGGCGTAAGATGATATATCATTCTCGGTTCCAAGAGTCTCACCACCACTGAATATATCCACCCAAACCTTCAAGGCCTTGCGGGTGGCACGACGTGGTGTGGAATCCTTGTAGGAAGCGCGTTTCTGTTTAGACTTAACACATGTGACACAGAATGATAATTTCTTCGGGCCGATAATGGCAATACCAAATCGCGGGTCCCTGGTCATTTTTAATATACTATTTTCACCGATATGACCAAGTCGATGATGCCACTCATCTATCGGAAGCTGTTTCGGAAGGACTGCAGATAATCGAGATGGAGGTGAGATAACAAAGGAATCAGTATCTGAATCCTTAGAGTTGATTAACTGTTCAACCTCCTCGCGGCTGAAAGGCCCCAAAGATCCAGCATTCGGATCGTAATCTGTTGAGATTGCCTTTGGTTTCGGAACGGCCACATATGCCACTGCTCCATACATTGGGTCGTTCATTACCCCATGAAATGTCGGTGGGCTGTCGGATAGGATGTAAATATTATTGTGGGACAGATTGGCGTAGAAGATATCACTGTTGGTAGGTGACAGGAACTCAAAGTAGTTCCCAGCATCAACTTGCATATCACGGCGGATATAGCCCTGACATTCCATCAGCCCAGCGGAGATCAGATTTGCGGATAGCCCTGGCACGTAGTATACATGATTGAATTCTATCAATCTTTCACCCACTGGGATGGATGCAGTGCCGACACCCTGAACCTTCATAATGGCCTTGTTGGCCACTTGAACTGTTGGACCATTGATTGCTATAAGTTCTGAAAATCGTGATCTATCACTCGCTATGTGGCATCCGGCGCCACTATCCCATATAGTGAGGGGATCCTTGTGGGGTTCCACAAAACAGGCTGGCACATTGATAACCTCTGCAAGGTTTGCCATCTGATAGGTGTCTGATCCATCTGTAATGGATAGTTGGGTTCTACCCCCACTATTGTCCTTTTCCTTCTTTTCCTTGAATTCCTTTATCCTCGCAGCATTGTTTATCCTCCAATTATCCGGAGCACTGTCTGGATTGGCCAACCAACAGGTGCCAAAGTGAGATCTCTCACAATCAGGACATGTAGATGGATTTCCCGATCCCCGATGGTTTCGGGAGCCCCCTTGTGTACTGCCACAACCACATCCAGTACGGCCTCCACGGGCCAGATTCGATGTATTGTTGTTCGAATTGGTAGGTGTAGTGGTCATTGTATCTGTTGTAGCTGTCGTAGCTGTGTTGGCTGCAGAATCTATATTCTGCAGATTCTTTTTATCTTTTGGAGGATCAAGCCGCGAACGGATCTCCTCCATGAGAAGATCAACATCCAATACCACAGCTGTGGATTTGGAATCCTGTATCTCCTCTATCTTCTTCTGAACATAATTCCTCCAATTGTTGGGTAGAACTGAGTAGAAGGTATCAAATATCCATGCATCTGAGGGGGAAGCATCCAACATCTCCAATTTTGTAATGGCAGACTGGAACTTATCAAAGAATGTGTGTAGATTGGTGACCTGTGTGCCATCAAGAGACATGAATTCCAGAACTGCCTCACGGTGTAACTGTGTTTTGGGGACAGAGTATTCCTGTTCAATCGCATTCCATAGAGTATAGGCGATCCGATTTTCATCATACTTGGAGAAACATGGTCTGACACCTGCACCCAAGGAGTTCGAGATGAATGTGTAGAGCCACCGGTTTCTGGCGTCCCAGAATGGTGCCCATTCGTCATCTCTTTGTAGAGGGTTCTGGGTCTGTCGTTTCTCTATCATATACCAGCACTGTGCATCAACCAGTTTCGATTTCATGAAGATGCTCCATGTGGTGTAATTGGATGTGCCAGTCAGACTGTTTGGTCTCACAGTATTCTTGACATCTTCCTTGAATTGGGAGATTGCCTTGCCAACACGGCTATCCGGTTCATAAAGGTTGAATTCCAACCTTTCACCGAGATTAGGATTCCATGTGGCTGTTGATGTGGTGGCAGGATGATTGTTGACATCCTGAGGTCGATCTGTAGAGGATCTCTTTTGACGGAGTTTTTCCAGTTGTAGTTCGAGTTCTAAGACTCTTTGCTTCCCCTTGTCCATCTCAAGCATCATCTTGAGATGCTCCATCTGTTGGTCTGATATTGCCTCGCCCGAACGGTAGACACCTGGGTGTCCATTATTCTCATCAAGAGAACCAGCATCAAGCTGTTGAGTAGATCGGGGGGCCGGCCTGACCGTGTCAGGAGCTGTATTCAAACCAGCTTCGAATCGAGAGGGTGTTGCGGGGTGTTCTTCAATGGAGCTTTCAAAGGCTCCAGGAGGATGTCCACTGGCAGAGCGTGAGTGTGAAGAATCATCATCATCATCAACTGCAACTGATCCAGTGGAAAGGACGCGAGATCGCGAACGTGTGTGTGGGCGAGATCGTATTGAATCCGCCATCTTGATATTCATTTATTGGATCCTTGCCAATATCATTCTCTTTTTCTTGCTTTTTTGCAAGTGTGGTGCGTTTTCTGCAAGCCTCTTTTTTTTTTTTTTTTAAGCGAGCAGTAGTATTATTGATCATCAAGATCTCAAACACATCAATACTGATAGAATAAGACGATTTTAACTCCTGAAGGGCGTATCAAATGAAGCAGTAGTTCAAATAATGAATATATTGACAAGGAATCCCGAATTGGCAGCGATTTTGCGCAAAACGGGTCTCATAACCTGTGGAAGGTGTAAAGCTTGTGTGATTGAAAGGTTGCTAGCTTTGTGGGAAGTTATATGGTGGAAGGATTAGTAAGCCAGATCACGTGACCTGACATAAGTACCATACCGGAAAAACGTAGGCTTATTATACGACCGGGCTATGGTTGTTCCGCCATGCCAGTCAGCGACACTGTCGCTGAACTGTAAAACTTAATATAATGGTGGATTAGCTTTGAAATCACTGTAAATGAGTTATGATTCATAGACTGACCGTGTGACCGATTAAATGAAATTAAATGAGATCACTTTCTCATTTTTTTCAAGTTATGATTTCATTTTAAAATCTGATATATAGTTACTTTGCATGTTTTTTTAATGACTAGTCTTAGCAGAATTCACATCAAGAAATGTATAGAATCAGATTAAATGAAATTAAATATAAAATTTATAATCTTAGTAGTCAGTCTAGAGATAAATCTCATAGATATACTACTGTAATCATTAAATGAAAATTATTGAATAATCACTGCTATTGACTATACTACTAACTGACTAGTTGTAAAAGTAGTTTCAGAAATAATAGAGAAGATAGTAATGAAGTTTTTACATAATAAGATCTATATTAATTATGAAATACTATATGAGATTTTAACTGATAATAGTACAAACCTTGTAGAAGAAGTAATGAGACATTTCATAAGCTAGTTACAGATAAGATATTATAGAACAATGTTATATCATCTGTAGATAAATAGAAAGATGAAACACTTAAATAAAATTCTGAGTAACATGCTAATGAAATATCTAGTAAGTAAGTCTATAAGATTATGAAATGAATATCTCAGTCAGACACTATTAGTTATATAAATTTAGTAGTATACAGTCTTCAAGTGTTTACTATTCTATCTATTATATAAATTGCATTTGCGCATTCTGAAGAATGCTTTGAAAAAGATAAGAAAGAGAACAGCAGTTGCAGATACAGCAGTCATGAATATAAAACTAAGATTGAAAGAAATCAGCTATGTATGTATAAAAGCTAATAAGTTACTTCTGAACTGAGCAATTCAATTAAAAAGAATATGAGACTCACTAGTTAAGAAATCAAGTCTTAAGATAAGAATGTAAGTTCTTATATATAATAAGAGTTCTGAGAAGTTTCAATTTAGATAATTTAAGCTCTATAAAATACTCAAATCACCTTCTCTGAAAATATACACATTGAAGAAATCAGAGAAATGAGTCTTATACAACTTAATAAATAATTCATGTCTGATAGAGATAAAGATGTAAGACTTAAGTAGATTATAATTATCTACAGCACTATTATCAGTATTGAAAAAGAAGAAGCTTATAATTAAAAAGTCTCATAAAGTAAGAGAAATTATAGATGTTTATAAACTAGATAATCTTACTTATTCTGATCTTTTCATAATTATAAGAAAAGAATGAGAAGTAATGAAGAAATCAGATAAATATTATACTTTAATAAGTAATAAGACTGTAGTCAGTTGTATAATAATACATCACAGATATCAGATATAACATAGTAAAGAGTAGTCTCAAAGTGACAGACTTGTATATAAGTCAGATGACAGAAGAAAAAGAAATTCAGAGTTAAATTTAACTGTTTATATTAGTTTAATTACAAAGATAATAGAGGATGAAACATCTGAAACATTTATAGATATATAAGATTAAGTTATCTTACTCTTTGAAGACACTCAGAGATTGAGTAAGATTAGTTTTAATAAGCTATTCACTGTAGTGATCTGAGCAGGTGAAGAGAGACAGTATAATATATAAGACAGAATTATAAGATAAAAGCTGCTGAATCTAGTCACTGAACACTGTATTATATAGAGATGATGTACGAGTAGTAACTAGAAGACAAGGAAAAAGCATAAGAGAAGAGAAGAGATAATGAATAATGAATTAATTATCAATTAAAAGAATAGACTGTAAAAAGATAAATATTATTATACACATCTTATTTATTTTTATACATCATATATTTAATCTATTTTCAATGCTACATCATCTGAAAAACATTAAAAATAAAGAAAATCTCAAAACTTAAGATCTGTAAGAAATTCAAGAGCTGTAAGTTACTCTTATAATAATATTATACATGTCTCTGATTTCTCTACTGCTCTATGTATAATATTAATATCTTTTATCACAAGATTAACTGAAATATCAATATAGAAATGTGTATATATATACATAGAAAAATTGAAGAAGAGCACAGAACTTGCAGAACTGAGAGTCAGAGCAGAGAGAGTGAAGATGAAAGAAATAGAAGAGAAAGAAAGTACAGAACTGAATAAATAATAGCAGAAGTCACTCAGAGTTGAATACTTACAATCTGATATACACATAATCTTTCTCACAGAGAAGAGAGAGAAAATGATGAGAGAAGCTTGAAGATAGAGAAGAATAGTCTCAGTGATATTATCATCTTCAGGGATTAAAATGACCTCTGACATCAGAGCAACTAAGAATCATTATTAGTATATAAAACTACAAAGTTAGAAGTAGAAACAGTTACTGAATAAATATTCACTAATCTTAGAGTTGTATATATAATTACAACACATATAAGACTTCTCAGAAAGAGAGAGAGAGATATAGAGAAATATAGAAAGTAGAATACTGTGGCGGGCTGCGCCCGATCAATCATATAGACTATTCCGTTACACTCCACAGATTCCACGTACGCTCAGATCCTCGGCCATTCTCGATTGCAGATCCTCGGCCATTCTCGATTGCCGATCCTCGGCCATTCTCGATTGCAGATCCTCGGCCATTCTCGATTGCCGATCCTCAGCCATTCTTGATTGCCGATCCTCGGCCATTCTCGATCGCCACCCTGATCAATCATATAGACTATTCCGTTACACTCCACAGATTACACATACACTCTGATCCTCGGTCATTCTCGATCGCCGATCCTCGGCTGCTATGGTATATATTATATATTCTTCCACTCTGAAGCTCCACCGCGTACACCATCACATATGTGTATAAATATCCACCTCAATCACTGATTCTCACACTTTCTCTTTCTTTCCTTCTCCAGCATTTTTATCTTTGTTATATAAGACCTATCAATATAATACTGATCTATTCAGTGTAGGCCCCTTACACTATAAAAACACTCATTGTCTCCTTATTAGAAAACAATTATTCAGCATTATCTCCTCATTAGAAATGATTATTCATCAAGAGATATCTGAACATGTAACAATGTGTAAGAAAGAGAAGTCAAACAGTTAAGTGAACACTGAGTTCTCAGATAGTTCTCAGATAGAAGCTTGCTCACCAGTTGCTCTGGCCTTATAACAAGATCTTATGAAGAGAATAAGATCTTACAAGAGAATGTCAGTGAAAGACCTGAGAGTTCTGACACACAGATGTATAAAAATACAATTACACTTCTTCAGATTTCATAGATATTATACATTCAATGATTGATATAATCATGTCTAATAATAATATGAAACTCTCAAACTCGAACATGAGCATAGACACAGTGTCACAGTGACTTCAAGCAATGTTGAAACTACAATAACAATAAATAGCTAATATGCATGCAACTCAACAATATCAATATGAAGAGATTTAACAATTATCACAAGAAATCCATGTGATTTCAACATCTACAGAATTGAATACAAAAGCACTGAAAGAATGCTTAGATACTTCTGCATATTTCAATGCTTCTGATCTCACTCTTCACTCATCATAAAGAATGGAAATGCTTATGAAACTGAGTGTAGATGAAGATTTCATCAGTTTATTAATTAATCAAGGTTGATATATCAATGAATGATTGAAGAATTGCATGAAACAGAAGTTTCATTCATGAATGAAAGCATGTGAATCAGTGTTGTAAATATCTGACAATATCATGAGACATCTTGATATCCTGTTCTGAGACACTGCCATGTAACAGAAAGCATTAGATTAGTTACAGAGCATCTGACAGAGAAACACTTCTCTTACAACATTTATCCCTGACTTCAACATCAAGATCTTAGAAGCAGGTAATCAATCTTGAGAGAATAGAATGAAGATTAGCATGCTCAAGAAGACATTAACTTTCAAACTCTTACAGGCTCTTATAAGTATAAATGAAGACCAGACTTATGAAGGCTTCTGCACACAGCTTCAGACAATGAATGACTGTCTTATCAAGCTCAAGAATATACAGAACAGTGACAGAAGATATTACATCTCAGCAACTTATACACCAGTACTGACAAATAACTCAATGACTTATACATCAGCAGTGATAGATAACTCAGCCACTCATACACTCACATCAAAGAACAATGATGCAGATGCCATAAACTGAATAGATTCAAATGTCTATGCATAAGCAAGAGTTTCTGCTGTTTAAACAGGCTTCTGAGTTCCTGAGATCACTTCTGAAGAAGTTGTTGATCAATATCAACAAGAAGTGTGCATCAACTGTAACTGATTGAAACACATTGCTTTCAACTGCTGATCAATCTATGTGCCTTCACATTCAAGAGAAAGATCAGCATCTTCACAATTAAGAGAAAGATCAGCACCTGTTCACACCAGTCACATTACATTAGAGAAAGATTCAGAAGATAACTATAAGAATATCCTGATGAAACAGAGAAAAGATTAGCTTCTATTCAAATTTATAAACAGAAGCTTGAAGAGGTTGAACAACAATAATTTGAAGAGAAGTCACTATGCAATGATAAAACCTTCAGTGTATTCTCTTATCAAAAACTACACACTGAACTGCTGTGCTGTCATCAATCTGATCCCTTCTCAACTGACCTGGACTCTGAGTTCTGCATTATCTGAAACAGTGGCTCTTGACTGATGGGAACTGCTTCTGAAAAGAAGGAACTAATGTGGCAGGCTGCACCTGATCAATCATATAGACTATTTCATTACACTTCACAGATTCCATGTACACTCAGATCCTCAGCCATTCTCAATTGCAGATCCTCAGCCATTCTCAATTGCCAATCCTCAGCCATTCTCAATTGCAGATCCTCGGCCATTCTCGATTGCCAATCCTCGGCCATTCTCGATTGCCAATCCTCGGCCATTCTCGATTGCCAATTCTCGGCCATTCTCGATCACCACCCTGATCAATCATATAGACTATTCTGTTACACTTCACAGATTACATGTACACTCTGATCCTCAGCCATTCTCGATCGCCGATCCTCGGCTGCTACAGTATATATTATATATTCTTCCGCCCTGAAGCTCCACCGCGTACACTACCACATATGTGTATAAATATTCACCTCAATTGCTGATTCTCGCACTTTCTCTTTCTTTCCTTCTCCAGCGTTTTTATCTTTGTTATATAAGATCTATCAATATAATACCGATCTATTCGGCGTAGGCCCCTTACAAATACAGTATATAAATAACTCATTTTCATGACAATATTTCAGATAAGATATACAAGCCTCACATCTGTAAGTGTAAAAGAAGGATCTTCAATCTCACCTGTTTTATTTGCAATATACACTGCATATCTATTCATGAATAGAGAGATGAAAATAGTGAGATCTTCAAGTTATGTAGATGATATTGATCTACTCTACAGTTCAAAGACAATCAAAGAGAACTTAGAAGTGATTGAGAAAGCAGCAAAGGAAATCTTTGTTAGAGCAGATATTAATCTAATTCAATTTGATATGAATAAAACTGAGTTAATTCACTTTTTTCCCAGATTTAATGAGAAAGAACTAAGTCTAACTCTTTTAAATAAAGAGATTAAACCCGGTTTAAATGTCAAATGACTAGAAGTATGGTTAAACTCCAAGCTGAATTTTAAATATCATATTCAACAAAGAATCATCAAGGCAGAGAGACTACTGAATAGTATAATCAGACTATCAAATACTGAGAGAGGTCTATCCTTTCAGGCTATGAGACAGTTATACATAGCCTGTATTATCTCAGTAGCTGATTATGAAGTTCAAGTTTGATGAAACAATCAAGAAAACTTCACTGAACTCTTTCAAAGTCTACAAAACAGAGCTTTGAGAAGAATTCTGGGTGCATTCAAGTCATCTCCTATTAAAGCAATGGAAATTGAAGCTTCAATTCCACCTCCTGCTATTCGATTTGAAAAGGCCTGTATGAACTATGCTCTGAGAGTCATGAAGATGAGCTCAAATCATATAATCAGAGAAAGAGTCTCTTCTTCATTTTCATCAGTTAACTCAGAAAATGAACTGAATTGAAATAGATTTCTTGATTGGAACAAGAATAATACTTTAAAGAAAATGCCCTCTCAACTGTATAGACTATGTTCACTTATTAAGAATCAATTTTCTTCATTAAATATTGAGAAAATTGATCATGAGAAGATATCTCCCTGGAGAGAAAAGCTGGAATCTCTCATAGACTTATAAATAAGTGAACTATCTAAAGAGAGAGAATATGAACAGCATTTGAAGAAGATCTCTATAATTAATATAAAAGACTCTGTTCTGATCTACTCAGATAGCTCAAAAAATGAGAATTTGAATAGATTAGACGCAGGCATTGCTTATACTGAAGATAATATTAATTTTATCTCAGATTTCTGGAATTTAGACTGTGAATCTGAAGTCTTTGATGCTGAACTATTTGCAATAGTGAAAGCTTTCAAACTCATTGAAATAAAATCTTATAAAAGAGGAAATTGTTTGAAAGAGGCATGAATATTTTCTGATAGTCAAGCTGCTTTAAAAAGACTTAGAAATAGTCAGATTCATAATAGTCAAATGAATCTTGAACTGATTTTAAACTCTGTTTTGAAAATTCAAAAGAGAAGAATATCAAAACTGATAATTCATCTGCATTGAGTTCCTGCTCATATGAATATTCATGGCAATGAATTGACTGATTCAGCTGTAAAAAAGGGTTCAGAATTAAGCAGATCTATTCAAAAAACAGTGTTCTGGTCTTTCATAAGAGAAAGATAAAGATCTTGTTTAAACTAGTAGAATGAAAGCTGGCAGTGTAGAGGCCTACGCCGAATAGATCAGTATATATTGATAGATCTATAACAAAGATAAAAATGTAGAGAGGAAGAAAGAGAAAGTGTGAGAATCAGTGATTGAGATGAATATTTATATGTGTATGTGATGATGTATGTGATGGAGCTTCAGAGTGAAAGAATATATATGTGTTCATAGCGGCTGAGGATCAGTGATTGGGAATGACTGAGAATCAGAGCATATGCTACGCGCGTTTGTAGCAGCTGTGAATCAGTGATCAGAAGTGGCCAAGAATCAGAGTGTATGCTACGCGCGTTCATAGCAGCCGCAGATCAGCAATCAGAAATGAAAGAATCTATGAAGTGTAATGAAATAGTCTATATGATTGATTGGGCGCAGCCTGCCACATTAGCCCCCTCTTTTCAGAAGCAGTTCTCATCAGTCAAGGGCTGCTGTTTCAGATAATACAGAACTCAGAGTCCAGGTCAGTTAATTGTAGCTGACTCATTTCATCAGATATTGTCAGCCGCGGCTGTGAGATCTCTTATTGAGAATATCTTCAATCTCTCACTCAAGCTCATTATCTTCTTCTATGATGCCTGGCAGCTGTCAGTCAGAAGTCAGCTGAGAAGAGAACAGATCAGTGATAGTGTGATGAAGCAAGCTCATGTGAAATACATCATGAATCTCTGATAATATGTTAAGACAGTAGTTGTAGCTATCTAGAACTTCTATCACTTTATACCTGGCATGATGATAGTCTAGTGTACAAGATGAATGTGTGATTTGTATATTCTTGAGATTCAATCACACAAGATCTTCTATCTTATACTGCTCTGCAGAATCTTGTTGAATATTGATTTGATCTTCTTGATCTTGTTTCACAGTTGTCATGAAGGCCTCTGCTCAGTCATGAGTGTCTCAGAGCTTTGTTACTATATTATCAGCAATCTGAATCAGACTGTAGAGGTTCAGTGTGCACTGTGTGATCTCTAGAAGGTTCAATACTTTCATGTGATACCTGTGTGTAAGGAAGAACAGGCTTACATCTGTTGAAATGACATCTTGACTGTTGATAGTGACCTCTGTGTGTAGAAGAAGATCATGTCAATCATCTTATAAGTGATTACAGAACTTATAAAGATAATTCTTTATAGTCTGAATTGTCTGTTCTAATGTATCATCAGTCTCAGAGTGATAGACAGTTGACAGACAGTGTATAATCTTGAGAACTTGACAGATTCTTATTCAGAGAGCACTCACAAATTAGCAGCTCTGATCTGATACTATTAATCTCAGTAATTCATGCATCTGATAGAATGAACTCTGTAAGAAGGCTTCAGTGACTTGTTCAGTGTTCATCTTATCACAAGATTTCAATATTACACTCTTACTTAGTCAGTCAATGATGACCAGAATGTTCCTGCAGCTCTTGCTCTCAGATAGATCAACAGTGAAGTCAATCACTACATCTCATCAGATTCTATCAGAGATATTGAGTGATTTCAGTAGACCTTTTCTACAGTTCTTTCATGAGATAACAGAAGAACAGTGATTGCAGTTTCAGACAAAGTATCTGATACTGTTTAATATCTCAGACTAGTAGAATTCTTGAGAGATCATTCTATACAGTTATTCACAGCTTGAATAATCAGTCATACACAAATCATACATCTCTTGCATTATTCAAGTGTGTAAGAGTTTGAAGTAAGAAACTCAGTGTTGTTCACAGAATTGTAGAGTGTTATTATCATTGATTAAGTATTCTGAGATATCAGTTCTGATATGTAGTTCTGGAGAAAATCAGAATGCTTCTTGATATACTGCTTCAGTGAGAGTCTGAAGAAGTTCATCAGTCTGAGCTGCTGTATGCCATAGTTTGTCCAGTGTAGAGAAAGTGAAGATATCAATATCAGTTCTAATTGAAGAAGCATGTATGATGCCGTGAGCTGTTCTATCTTGATTAATTAATATCTTCAGGTTCAAGAGCCGGTGCTCTCAGTTCATTCAGTGAGTATCTGTTACATCAGATGACATATCTTACTCTTGTTGTGAGAGGGCATCTGTCATTGAGTTCTGACTGTCAGAACAGTAGTGTATTGTAAAATGAAAGTGACTTAGAAACTCAGATCATCATATCTATCATTCAGTAAGTTTACAGGTAGTTGTGAAGTATTTGAGATTCTTATAATCTGTGACTATCTCAAATTCAAAGACACTTCAGAGTTCAGAGTCTCATTCTTCTAAACAGTATATAATTGCAAGGAGTTTCTTATCATAGATCTTATAATTGCATTCAGCAGAACTCAGTTTCTTAGACATGAAGACACATGATTATAGAACATCTTCATCATCATATTATAATATCACTTCTTCTGTCACATAGTCAGAGAAATCAGCTTCAACAACTGTCTCATAATCAGAATCAAATATTATCAGTAGAGAAGTATTAATGAACATCTTCTTTATCTGTGTAAATGCAGCTTCAGCATTCACTGATCATTGAAATACTGAGTCTTTCTTAGTGAGATCTGTAAGTGATCTCATGATATCTGAGAAGTTTCATATAAATCACTGATAGAAGTTAGCAAATCTGATGAAGCTTCATACATCTTTCACAGTACATGAAGCTTCTCATTCAAGAATGGCAGAGACTTTCTCAGAATTCATTTGAATTCTCTTATCAGCTTCTATAATAAAACTCAGATACTTGATACTCTTGACTTCAAAATCACACTTGTTAATATCTATTGATAGTTCTGCTTCTCATAGCTGTTGTAATACCTTTTGCACATGTTCTTGATATTCTTTTCTGAATTCATCAGTGAAGATGAGAATGTCATCTAGATAAGCAGATACAAACTCATCAAGGAAATCTCAGAGTGCTCAGTTGATATACTTCTGAAATGTACTGAGAGCATTAGCCAGTTCAAAGAATGTGACTATTCATTCAAAGAGGTTATAACATGTTCAGAATACTGTAAGCCATTTATCTCCTTCAGTGATATGAATCTTATGAAATGCAGTGATGACATCTAGTTTTATAAATCATTGAGCTTATCTGATCTGTGCTAGGGTTTCATTGATGAGAGATAAGAGATATCAATCTTTCTTTGTCAATCTGTTCAGACCTCAGTAGTTCATGC